ATACATACAAACAAACAATCAAATCTTCTTTCTTTGAAATATTAGTATAGATATTATTGAGTTGTTCGGTTTCTATTCCATAATGCATTGGAAGTTGCATTGCCTTTGAAATTCTCCCCTGGAGTCCACGAGAAAATATGGCCTCAAGGATGCTGATATCGTTAAATGGAATGACTATAACATTTAGCCTTTTTAAATGAACAGGATCTGCTGGAATTGTTGAATTCATGGAATTTGTGAATAGCTACTCTTATGTTGGAATCCAATACTCCAATAGTCGAAACTTTGGGGAGACTAGTAAAGCTTCAGCTTATAAGAACTGGATTCCAAATCATCTCAACTATGCCAAGATGCTGCCAGGATCAGAACTTCAAACCTCAAATATTTATAAAAAAATTTACTGTTATTAAAGATGCAGCATCGTGAGAAGAATTATATTTCGAACACTTCAGAAGCTCAGTGCACCGTAATTTTCTGCTTCCACATGATATCTTAATAACTTAATATACATTTCACAATGTTCGTCTATATTACTGATTGGAATCCCATAGCAATATAATCCAACATCCTGTGTCGATAGAAATAAATCGAAGAAGCCATTAATCACCCAAACAAGCATTAGTAGAATCCTATTTTGACTATAAAGTCGGGATTATGTTTCGTCAATTAGAGAGAGAGTCTGAATAATTAGAGCGAGGCTTAACTGGATTCTTGGCGGTATCGATTTCGTCACTGTAGGAAACTTCTGATGATAAAACGACTTCAGAGAATGAAAGAAAATTCATGCGAATTATTCATGAGTAAATATTTTAATTAGTGAGAGATTTTGGCGATGGAAGTCGCAGAGAACCTTGAGTTTAATGATGAGATGAAGTAGGTATCCTCTCAAAGGAGCTGAATTGAAGATTCGCGTCATTAACTTGATTTGAAGACGATGCCAATGAATTGTTGAACTTCTGAATAGCTTGGTATCATTATATGATGAAAATAACATCATACTATTGATTTGGAGGTCACGAAGGCAAAGAAAACTATGTATCGTAGAAAAACTACTGAATTTTTATATTTCAGAAATTTTTGAACATTTTATCTCAGATAATTTATATTCGACGTTGCGAGAACGCTTTAAAATAAGTACTCTTGAAGTCAATCATCCCTAATAGCACACAACGTCCTAGGGACGTCTTTATTTGGTACAATTCACGTCCGAATGTCCCGAACCTGAAATAAGTATCCTTGGGACGTCCCATCACGTACATCTCATGCAATGTCCGAGCAAGGACGGTCACGAAATGTCGCAGCTGGTACATCATTTCAAATGTCCTAGAAAAAGCATCCCTTAGACATCCCACGTGGTACATATTGTAGAATGTCCATGCAAGGACGTCCTTGGCAGTTCCCTGATGGGATACGTTCCTTCAAGGACATCCATCAGATGTCCCGAGTAGTACATATTCTGGCATGACTTCAGATCTTATATAATGTCCCTTCTAGACAGTCATGAAATGTCCCTGATGACACATTCCATCAAATATCTCTGCACAGACGTCCTTAATATTTCCAGGATCGTATAACTATCGAAATGTCCCTTAGGGACATCCTTTGAATGTCCCTCAGGGATATCCGTCTTATGTCCCAATTGGTACATGAACTGTACTCTTCCAATGTCCTAGAAATAACGTCCAATGGACGTCCCAGTCGGTACTTTTAATATGTTGTCCCTGCGAGGACGTTAACTTACACCTCGCTATTGAGTGATTGCTCGTAGGCTATAGGTACTCATCGTCAATGTCCTTCACGTTAGTCCATCCATGGACATCCATGGAAAACTTTTTGGAGACTTCCTACGGACCATCAACTCAACTGGATGTCCTAATCAGTTATGCAAGATCTGGTCCTAGAGGGACCCAGAAAAATTCAAATGATTTGTACGTCCCTGGGACATTCTATGGACATTCAATTGATATCCCTTAGCGTTGCTGATCCTATTCTAGTTTCAATTTTCTTCTGAAGATGCTTTCATATATAGCGGAACACATGTGGATGGATCACAGAACTCATATATTATAATATGATGACTATTATAATATATGAGTTGTATTATTCATTCACAAGCAATTCTAATAAATTTCCTGTGAATAAATGTAAGCGGACTAGTGAGATACGAATAGGTTATTTCTGATTCATAGATACAATTTTTCACAAAAAAACACTGGAAAAGGGCAATTCCTCAATTGATAGTTTTTGGAAAAAATGGGGTTTTTTAAGTTAATTATGACTTACCAATGGGATAAGGATGATTGACCGAAGGATAGTTTCGGTTATACTCGCTGCTGAATTAGCTGGATATCGAAACCGGTACCGGCAAACATTTTCTCGTCACGATTGACAAAAAAACGTAAACTTCACTCACGAAACCGAGTGAACAGTTAATGTCCAACAAAAAAAGATGGATTATACTTAAACAAGTATTGAGTAATCGATTATCACTTTTTTATTTGCGATAATCTTTGCCATGGGGCAAACCACGATTTTCTTCGAAAATGGTTCAAAGTCGTACTGTACTTTTCAGAAGCACCAAAACGTATATCGCCCGTATCGCGATGTCACCTCTCCACTCTTCTTTCTTCCTCTCGATTGTAGGTGATAGGATCATAGGTGCACAAAGGAGAGTCGAAGGATTCACACGATTCGTGCGAAAAGGATGGAGAATATCAGCAGTCAATACCAATACGAAATTGGAGCAAATAAATGAATGCAAATAACCTTGTACTTTTTATGCTATTAATATATCAAATCCAAATCATTCACAGGGTGATTTAAATTTATAAACAAAAAAATATATTATTCAAAATAACTAGAGAAAATTAGAATTGCTATATACCTATACTACTAAGTGGTGACGGAACATGAGTTCTGTGGGATGGATGCGTTTCAAAATTCGTATTGGTTATAGTGTAGTGGATTGACTCCAGAGATTTATCGAAAACTCAGTTCTGGAACTAATGATAACTATAAGAATGTTATTGGTGGAAATGAAGTAGAATATGATGAAACGAAGAACGATAGGTCTCTCAATATAAATGTTGATTTTAACCAGTGTATTCCGAACTGTGGGTCGCGAAACCTTAGTCAAGGGGTCGCTGGCAGAAGAGAAAAGGTGAAGTAGTAGCAGACTTCTATGAGTACATAATTTTAGTGATGAGGATATGGGTTTGTTCAATTCTCAAAACTTCCAAACATAATTCCTCATCTCAGTTCAAATGTCGATCATCGAAGAGATTGTCAGTTCACACAGGTATGATGGGGCGAATGGTTATAATAATTTTATAGCTTCTTCTGCTAGCTCTGGATATTCTTGTTTGCTTTCCATCCAATACACGTCGACTCTTTGTGAATATAATCATATTTCAAGCATGCCATCAACAGCTAATCTATGAGGCATTCTTCCAAATCCGTGAAGAGATCAACCAGTTATGTCAACGTATCCAAGAAAGAAATGAAGAAACATGAAAACTATCTTCGCCCATTGTCAGATTCAGAGTGTACAAGTCGAGAAATAGTTGCTACACCAGTGGCCTTAGATGCAGTCCTATCGCGGCTTCTTGCAGACTAATTAGTGAAGGTATCAGAATGAAGAAAATCATTATCGTAGCCTCTTGAATTATATATTCTTTGTCTGTCTGACAAGGGAGTTGCCAGGATTTTTCAGGTCGTAAGGGAGCCCTGACATCAGTAGGATTTGGAAACGCTGATGTGAACAATAATAAATAAATTGGATTCATTCAAGATTGAACTATGCTCCATTCCACTAGAGGAATAGATCTATTACATCATTCTACTAGTGGATGGGGTGGTCATTTGAACGATTCATGAGTCTGGATTGAATTTCAATCATGGGGTTATTGTTGATAAAAGCCATTTACATATCGAGGGAGCAAAGGTAACCATTTCCTCGTGCGTCTGAAGTCTGATGTCCGACGCGTAGCGGAAGGCATTGAACATACATTGGAGGTGATGAACCTCCACTCCCAAGATTTATATGATTTTATCCACGAATGCATATATTTGAGAGCGTCGTTCTTGATATGTGCTTCAAGCGATATTTCTCTCGACTCTCGTTCCAAATCAATATGTTACACGATCTAAGGTTCGAAAAATCAATTTAACGCTTCTGTCACATGGAATTCGTTTATTGTAGCTATATCACGAATCCAACTGACAGTACTGAATCTGCTGTTTTTCTACTCCGAAATCAAAAATCAAATCACTGAAAGTGACAGATAATTACGAGCAGTTATAGGTACTATTAGGTACTATATTTAATTTCGAATATTATGACTCATTATCCTCCTTAGAATGCTGAATATCAAAAGGGAGTGTGAACTGTCATCATCTCAGAAAGAAAAGGAAGTTCACATTTATTTCCGTTGTTTCTTAAACATTAAGTTTTGTCTCATCAATATTTAATCAATAATATCATGTTCAATATCAGAAAATACCAGTTATTGAAATAATTGACGCTGAGAATAATATTCAAATTTCACCAGATGATCAACTGCTGCTGAATACTGATGAAAGCCATGAGAACGTGTTCCAAATTACAGCACTGTATTTCAGATTTTATATTTCAGAACACAGATTTTCAAAGTCAGTGGATATACTGACAGGACTGACCAGTTGGTAGGGATATACCCTCTGTAATTGCATTATCATTTCATTTGGAGTTTCGATTGAGTGAGTTTGGGATATGAGGAAGAGTATGAGATCATTGAAGTTCGAAAAGGAAATCGTTATTCGTTTTTTAGTACCGATGAAGGTACTGGTTAGGTACTTGAGTACCACAGCTCTCATACGTATGTCTCCACCAACGAAGTAAGCTGAAGCCAATTTACTCTACCTCCCACGAGAAGCAATATCTTTTTTCTCCCGTAGGAGTGAATTGACAGGTTTGTGTCCCCAAAAGAGGGAGCAAACGTTCTCTCAAATATTTTACTCACCCAGTTCTCGCGAAGTTAGCGATGAGAATGATGAAAGATTCAGACAGTGCTAGCTCTGATCTTGTATAGTTCTTCGGAAAGTGATTGAATCCATCGACAAGAGGTGCACCAAAAATGTATGGGAGCTCTTCTCCATGCACTGTTCCCATTCTCTGAAATGAAGAAAAACAATAGGATATTATCTATGATAATATATTCCATCTGAAATAACATTTTCGAGATCAAATCACTAGGTTCTACAGTCTCGATTCCTCGAATAATCATTTCGATCTACTAAAAAGCCTCACTTTCAAACCGATTTCAATCGAAAAGAATATATTTTCACACAACTCCCAGAAGAACTGCTAGTTTCTGATGTAACTGATGTTTGCTTAAAGATGATTATTGTCCGGTATCATAATAACATTTCATCATTTCACGAAGCGTGAATAAAAAGCACAATTCAAAAAATGTTGAGCCGGCAAATCCGTAGCCAGAACACAATCATCAAGGATTCACTATACCGGGTGGCTACGGAAGTATTGCCTACGGAATATCTCAGTTATTGTATGAAGTAGGTTTGTGAAATTTGGAGCGTCGATATAATGACATAAGAGCTAGAATTTGAGCATATTGACATGTCGAAGTTAACTTCCGGTCTGACCGGAAGTAACATTAACTTTCTTATTTTGAAGAGAAACCCTATTTTTTTTTCTTTTCGCCTCATTCAGCATTCAATTCCCTTTCTAATGACATATCACAAGTTGGTATCTAACCAGAAACTATTCATTAGTTTTAATTTCATTTTTGCGTATGGCGATAATCTATTTGTTATTTGAAGAATAATAATTGGATTTTTTGGTATTTTATTTCAAAAAATGACTTTCTATCATGTCATTAGGAAGAAATGGTTATGCTGAATAGTACAGGCAAGAAAAAGTTGTATGTTCCTATTCAAGTTATTGACCTACAGAGTATTGTTTTTTTCCCAATGTTTCCAATTTTTTTTTGGCGGCTTTTTATAACGCCGACGAATGAAAATAAAATATCACAGTAGTAGCAACTGTTATCAAGTGACGTATGGTTTCCATAGCCAACTTTTCAAATTTTGGCTTTCATTTTGCTTCCACGCCCCACTCGGTGAATTTCAATAATATTTTTTTTTCTGATCTAGTTTCTGGTTAGATACCAACTTGTGATATGTCATTAAAAAGGGAATTGAATGCTGAATAAAGCAAAAATAAAAAAAGTGAGGTTTCCATTTAAAATAAGAAAGTTGATGTTACTTCCGGTCAGACCGGAAGTTAACTTCGACATGCCAATGTGCTCAAATTCTAGCTCTTATGTCATTATATGGACGCTTCAAATTTCACAAACCTACTTCATACAATAACTGAGATATTCCGTAGGCAATACTTCCGTATATAGCCACCCTATATAGAATGTTCCAAAATTAGCCTGCCAAACTTTACCATCGGCTTTCACGATCAAAAACAGGAAAAAAGTTCCGAGGAACATCAGACAAAGAATGTCTCCTAAGAAAGCTACGACTCCCTGAAAGTGGGCTCCTGAACATAATATTTCTTGAGTATTTTTGATGAAATGATGCAATTTGGTACAAAAATTCAACTTTCCATGCCCAATGAAGTGAAAATAAAATCATTTCAAAACTTCATTCAGGAGTGTATAATACAAGATAAGCACATCCACAGCTCTTCACAGAAAAAAGGAACTTGAATTTGTTCACCATTATTTTCCTATTTTCCGCGCTTCTATGAGATTGTTTGCTCGGAAGGAATGAGTTGATGACTTTTGATAGCTCCTTTGATTTCAAATTCAGCAATGTTATGCATAAAATGTGAGTGTATCAATATTTTTGAATCGAAGCAGTGTGGATTTTGAAAATACTAGATTAAATCGCGAAAAATATGCATACTTTTGGAAGGATACGTGGATCGAAGAACTGATGTGTTAACCAACTGAATACTTTATTGAAACATGGAATTAATCTGACGATTACAATTCTCAATCATGTCACACTTGACAATCTATCATAATACTGAGTATTCAATAAAACTAAATAGAATGAGTGCTCTTCGTTTGTAGATCAATTCTTACACTCCCCCACAAACATGAGTCACTTATTCTTGAAGACCTAAGGCAGTTGATCAATACTGATGCTTCATTTTCGGCAACGATTTCGTGAATATATCCGCTACCATTTCAGTTGTTGACATATATTTCATCACGACTTACTGTTGATCTACTGCATCTCGAATAAAATGATGTCTCATATCGATATGCTTCGATCGTGAATGAAAAACGGGATTCTTCGTCATTTGGATAGCACTCTGGTTATCATTGAAGATCGTTATACAGGATGGTATTGAATTACTTAGTTCGGATAGAAACTTTCGTAAGAAAATTCCTTCTTTGGCAGCTTCTGTTAGACTCATATATTCTGCTTCTGCAGTGGATAAAGCCACAGTTGGTTGTTTTTTAGCCTGCCAACTGATTGCTGTACCATTCAAGAGAAAAACATATCCAGAATACGATTTTCTGTCGATGCTATTTCCTCCCCAATCTGCATCGGCAAATCCATCAATATTTGAGTGACTCTTCTTATAATTCAGCTCAAAACTTTCTGTCCCTTTCAAATAGCGCAGAACTCTTTTCGCAGCTTTCCAATGTATTTCCGTATAGCAGGTATTGAATTGACTCAAGTGATTCACCGAAAATGTTATATCTGGACGAGTTGCCAATGATAAATACATAAATTTGCCAATTAGCGACCTGAATGGAAATTTCTTCATTGTTTCATCAGGAACATTCAGTTCTTTCCCCAGTTTAGTAGAAACATCTAATGGAGTAGATATTGCTTTACAGTTTTCCATTCCGTATTCTTTTAAAATTTCTTTTATATATATCTCTTGCGATAACTTCATTATTTTTCTGTCCTCAGAATAGTTGAATGATATTCCAAGACAATAATGTAAAAGTCCTAAGTCTTTTATTTTAAATGACCTAGTCAGCTCACTCTTTATTTCTTCCAGCCAATGTTTATTGCGACTGGCCAAAATTATGTCATCAACATATACAGCTAGTAGCATTATATCCGAATCTCTTCGTGCATTGTATACACATGGATCAGAATTACAAGGCTGCATTCCGAAAGAAACAAGTTTATTGTGGAGCTTGTTATACCACTGCCTTCCTGACTGACGTAATCCAGACAGTGATTTTTTTTTGGAAACACACTTTATGTCCTGATTTCAACTGAGTGATCATTTCTCTTGCTTCTGTCGAAATTGTTTCATTTTCATGTGAAGCAATATCTTGAAGCATTTCTTCTGAAAATTCAGGTTTTTCTATTCAATTGAGAATTGTAATCGTCAGATTAATTCCATGTTTGAATAAAGTATTCCGTTGGTTAACACATCAGTTCTTCGATCCACGTATCCTTCCAAAAGGTTATTGACATATTTGAGAATTGTAATCGTCAGATTAATTCCATGTTTCAATAAAGTATTCAGTTGGTTAACACATCAGTTCTTCGATCCACGTATCCTTCCAAAAGGTTATGGGCCCAGGGCTATCGTACGAAGAACTGATGTGTTAACCAACTGAATACTTTATTGAAACATGGAATCAATCTGACGATTACAATTCTCAATTATGTCACACTGGACAATCTATCACAATACTGAGTATTCAATAAAACTAAATAGAATGAGTGCTCTTCGTTTGTAGATCAATTCTTACACATACAAAAAATTTGAGCAATATTCAATGTATTATAAGTACACTTCCGAACGATACTTTGGACTTATTTTATGTTCACCGCATTGTACCAAATTTCATCATTTTACCACGTGGCGTTTCAGAAACATTGAAGAAATATCATCTTCAGGAGCCCATGTTGATTGGAACTTTTCTTCTTATTTTTGGTCATAGAAGTCGCTGGTAAAGTTTGGCAGGCTGATTCCGGGACATCCTGTACATATATAGAATGTTGAAGAAATCAAATGATTCCAATAATAGGCATCGAATTCTAATCTCAAAATATCAGTTTTGTAATGAACTCTTCATTATGATCTCTAATTTATTTATTTTTCAATATTGAATTTTTATTTTGGAGACACAAAAATATGCAATGTCAGTATGATCATTGTAAATTCGATATCAATTGATTGAAGCATCTTGTAATTCACTTTTTCTACAAGCGTGCGTGATTCACCCTATACCCGCACGCAATTTAGTTTGGAAAGTGTCATTTTCCCGCAACAGTGCGGGAAAACAAAGATATGATAAAATCGCTAATAATATAAGTGGTTGGAGATGGAATATAAAAGTTTGAGTTTGTTTGTTGTAGTATTAAGTATGTATGTTCAGAATCATCCATCAAATTGCACTATTTATTGTAAAAATTAAGAAATATTGAGAAATAAAAATCGATTATTATAAAAATCCCCCTATAGATTTGGATTGATCTGACGGGAAACGATTATTGTTGTCATGCCAATCGAACCTTAAATAAGTTTGAAATTGTCGAAGTGACAGACACAGCGATACTGTCATTTTCGATTCAGTGGAAATGCCACAATGTGTTCAAAAACTTCTAGCTATAGGGATTCGATACAGATGCGTTATTACCAACGAAGTCTTGAGAAAGGTATGAGAAGCTATACACGCGTTTTTTTTTAATGGTGCAACAATAATGAAATGAAAATACCGAATGAAGAATAGGTATTTTGGCTTATTTCATAGAAGTGTCTGAAACCTAGACACCAAACTCCTTATGGGCCTGCTGGCTTCCGCAATGAACCAACATAATGCGTCAAACTGTAAGTTCACAATAGCTATTACTAATAATTAGTAGATAGAGAATATATTTCTCTTGTTAGCTGTTCCTATTTGCATGAATGATTAATTAAACGAATCAATCAATTTCCTACGCTTGTAGAAAAAATATTGTTCCTAACTCATGCGGAAAGTGTCTTTCCCGCACTCGACTGCTTGGCCGAACTCCGCTTCGCGTCGTTCGTGTCAACGGCAGTCGCGTGCGGGAAAGAATAAATTTCCGCACTTGTTAGGAAAATTACTATTTCTACAAGAATTTGTATCACTGACAGGTGTCAGAAGAAAATACCGGAGACAATAATTGGCAAGGAATGATTTAACGTTCTTATGTTGAAAACAAGAAGAGATTCCTTCTACATTATCATTCAAACAATAGTGAGATTAAATGAGCATGATGGTTATATTTTGGAGCCAATCATCTAATTGTCCTACTATACAAAAATACCGAAATTTTACTCATATTTCCATATCTCTCAAATTGAGTAGAATGAAATAAAATAACTCAGGAAGTTGGAACACGATCTTGAGGGTCATGAAACAAAAAAATGGATTCAACCCTTCCAGGGCAAATTCCTGCATATTAATTTCCTGGAATTTCCCACAGGCATTTGTGGTGGAAGTCTTTATTGTCTGTTCGGCTAGAATTGTTCGACCGTAATAGTTTGGGAAATATATCATTTCCCTATGGAAGTGAAAGCGATGATTTCATATTGTTGGATATCGTTTGAAGCTGTTCATCTTCCGTTCTCCTCATCGGATGATAGCTCCATGCTGATCCAATATCATTTCAGATAATGAATCTGATGAATTGTAATAAATTTTAGCGTATTATGCAGAGAACGATCCATGAAAATTGATGGAATTTTATGATGATAGTTGAAACTAGTACGATGTTCAGGAAAAAGACTCCAGCCAGTGCAATAAGAATTATTTCCAGAACAAATAGACAGCCTGAATCACAATTCAGTTTGAGGAGTATGGAATGTCGAATCCTATTTTTACATCCAGGTAATCAGGTGAATGACAATAGAAGCTACATTTTTGGAGTACATTTGTATATCTGCTATACTCTGAAATGCATCTGGATATCAGTTTCTCGAACAAAAATCATTAACGGCATTCCAGTTGTCGATGAAAAGTTCTTGACAAGAAGAATAAATGACAATTCATTCATGGAGAATAATGAAAATGTTATCAATCGAATAACAGATATCTTCGTCGGCGATGAGAAATTCATTTCTTCAATCAATGTCAAAATGAGAAGAAATCTCATTTCAGAAATTGACAAATGAATGATATATTGTTTTTCTTTCTCGGGGTGAGCCATAATAAATGTATATGGCTTGTTCTTCTGCTACTGTCCTGTTGGTTTCATTTCTACTTCTATTTTTCATTTCAAGAAAATTGTCTCTTCTCATGAGCGAATCCTTAGGACTGTTCACAATTATAAGTAAAATTTCTCTTGTATTTTATAGACTGGCATCACTTCCGAATTACAATTTCATCTGAGAACCATATTATGGGTGATATGATCTCTCCTCTTTTCATTCTTGGAGATTGGAAAAGAGGAATATTCGAATCTCATTCAAATTGAATGTTGTGGAAATGCTGTTATCAATTCCATTAAGGTGCTATAACGAACAATGAAACAATTGCCGAATATTTTTTTCATTTTCAAATTAGATTGTCTGAGAAATATCATCTTGATTGGGAGGATATTCTCCCCTTTCCTTGCCGATATTGTCATGTGCAGGTAGTATCACACAAGAGAAGATTTTCCTCGAAACAACCCACACGGCAAGAATCATTTCCATCATTTGAATCAATCGTTTATAATAGTTATTTATGTATCAATTGCGTCAAATATAGACTTTCATGGACCATAGCATGCAAGATCCATGTAAGCAAATTACAACCAAAATATATACATTAACATTACATGAATAACATTTTATGCACGAGCAATTTTTTTTAATATAGGTGGACTAGAATATTTGCTGTCAAATAATGCCATCGTAGATGAAACTTTTTTTTTGGGTTCGATCATTTTGCGTCTCAGAAATAGGAGAAGAACTTTATGATTATGGATAATGAACCAACATAACTGAAACATATATTTTTGCATTCTACAAGAATAATTATCACGAGTTACCTATGTGCCGGACGATAAAGTGGTCCGCGAGCGATAAAAAATCATTTTACGCCCGCAAAACCAGGCGATGAAGTGCTACTTCACGCCCGGTCGTGCATAATAGTTATTTTTGTATCAAGGGCGTACAGTTGGCGTTTATGGCCTGTGGCGTGAATAATGGCCCGATGGTGTTAGCCGAGGGCCATTACACACTGAAGGCCATGAAAGCATTTCACGCACGTGATACATACAACATTTCTTGCACTAGTGGTTGATTTTCTGACTCAGAAGTAATCACTATTGATTTCGATAAACTAATATTCCCCCGACTTCAATTCGTTACGCATGTATTTAATAATCGAGAGAAGCGTAATGTTCATGAAAGATTTACATATAAAAATTATCGTACGAATATTGCAATTATCGTAATAGTAAAATCCTTCGATCTCTAGAAGAGATTCTTTCTTCAGAATTTTACAATATGCATATTCAGTAAATATACCTACCTAATTTTGACGTGGTCAAGCAAAACATCCAATAAACAAGCTGAATTGTCATTCTCTGACTGAAAAGTAAAAATTAGCGATTATAATAATAGCGAGACTATGGAATCGGATGAAGAAGAAGTTTATGATATACCGCTGGATATATCAGAATCTAGGAAAATGATCATAGGTTTTTCATGAATTGATATGTGGATATAAGGAAACTGAGAACAGCTGGCGGTAAAGTGCACTTTTTGGCCCGTGGGCCATAATGAGTCCGCGAGCGGTAAAGTGCAACTCAATGCCCAAAAAACCGGCGGTAAAGTGCACTTCACGGCCCACTTGTGCATGAAAGATGTTTTTAACTTGTGAATTTCCGCCTAGTTTCAAATTCACCGTTGTTTGTTGTAGTGGGCTGTGATTCATGACTGCGATTATTGACAAAACTCACTTGGGGGTAATCTCCATCCTTCGTCTGATAATCGAACACATAGAAGAACGTCCTCGACCCGCCAGCCTCCTGTCCAGACTGAGGTGGCTTAGCGCTCAGCATATCCCCCGTCTGCACCAGCGGAGCCACGAACTGAGCATCACTCAGCGCAGAAATAGCCGAGTCCCTGGTGTTCACCGGATGCTGCACAGTTCTCTCCCAGTCCGTATATTCATTAACCACCGTAAAAAAGATCTCGCTCAGGTGGTATGTGTACGCGTTGCGAACGTACGTGCGCACTAGCTTGTCACGTCGTTCCCCCTCGAACCCCGCAGAGATGTCCTTGTCGGAGAACCGCCCCAGCGCTTCACTCGTCACCACCCCGAACAGCAAATCATAAGGGTTAGTGCCCCTGGGCGTCAACGTGGCTTCGCTGCGCTTCACATTCGCGTTGCCGAAGCTCTGCAGATCCTGCGGCTTGAAGTAGGTCACCAGCTCTTTGGCGAAGTCGGCCTTGATGACGACGCCGTCGACGCTGGGACCGAAGGCGCTGAGGTAGGCTGGTGGGGTGACTTCGGCTCTGAGGAGGTCTTCTAAGGGCGTTTCGCGGAGGCAGTCGACGATGGCTTCGTGGTCCTTGCCGACGTCTTCGGGGATGCTGCAGTTCACCTCTTTGGCTAGTTTGACTGCGTAATTGACAGGATCTTCGACCTGGAATATTGAAGGGTGTACGATAATTAGGGTGAAATGCTTCACCTGCAGATTCAACGATATAAATGATAAGGGAGTTCTTGTTAACACATGTCGAATCATGTTTCAACATCGAGCTACAGCCCCCAAAGGTGGTACCCTGAACATGGATTTTATTCAATATCTTTGAAACCGATTATAGCAGATTTCTGTAATTCTGCTAGTCGATCAATCTCTTCATGATAGATAATATCATGCAATGATATCAATATCAAATTTTCATTCACAAATGTGTCAAACTATAGGGGGTGCCGTACTTCTGCAATTTTAACAAGAAATTAGAGCTTTTTGCATGAGGACTGATGATAGCAGAGTTATGAAATCTTGCATATCGGACAATCTTTCATGTTTGATAATATGCGATGATGATAATCTCAGAATTTCATCCAGAAATGAAACAAACCGTGGGGAGGAAAAGGGTGGTTAAATCATCTCAACTCCTTTATTTGCGGTTTTTTGCAATTCCCAAATACTTGGTTTTCTGTTGTGGGTCAGGAGCTAATTCACTTTCAGTCAGCTTTTTATGATCTATAAGGCACAGATCCGACCTGTTATTGTTATATATATTGTTTTCATATTTGGAGTGCAGCACCCAAACATACCCTGAAACTGTTAGATTATGTAGTGAATTTGGTCTTTCCTTGGCCAAACGGCGCTGAGGTAGTATCGGACCTCGTGAATGTGTGGGTGAATAGTACCGTCTCTGGTGATCGCTGGGATTTCTCGTGATTGCAGGAGTTTGTATAGAGAAATGACACCAACCAGCTTCGCTATTCGTGCTCTTCTGAAGGTAGACTGTTTCTGGTTATCAGCCGTTTCTGAGAGAACCGCTAGGCCTTCAGATACCAGTCTAGTCTCAAATGAAAGCTAATTGATTTTACTACAACTTCATTCCACATGATATTCGAAGTGGGAAGCGTATTTTACAGGATAATTCACAGAATAGGTAACCATTCTGAAGAAATTCCACATGCTGGCTTCTGTTTGTTGACTTCGTTTATTTGTTGTTTCGTTTTCCCCAAGTGCTGCTCATTCCTTGCAATTATTTTCACCGTACTGATGAGGGCCGAAAGCCCGAAACACATGTATACGGTTATCTCTTTGTGAGGGCTATGTCCAATAATCTTATTGTTTTCACTCATGGACACGTATTCCACGCAGGTACCTATAGTTGCCTCCGTGGTGACGTTAGCTGTTTCCCTGAGACCTTAGGGTCTGCTGACCGAAACCACAAATGTGCAACTGGCTCCTTTCTGTTGACTCCGTTTATTTGTTATTTCGTTTTCTACCAAGTGCTGCCCATCCTTTGCACTTTCTTTCACCGTACTGATGAGGACCGAAAGCTCGAAACACGTGTATACGGTTATCTTTCCGTGGGAGGTATGTCCAATAATCTCTTTCCTTGAAATTTCATATATAAATATACTAGTGAGAATAAAAATTTTCTGATTAATAAAAAGAGTTATACATGAACAACGTCTAGGAGTATTGAATATACATTGTGAAATAGCCTTCTGTTTGATAAAGACGTTTCTACCCATTGATGAGTTGCCCCACAAACGAACACCATAACGCCACCCATACTCAACGTGAGCATAACATACACTGATGAGTTGCTTTTCATTCAAAACGACTCTAAGATTCCAATTTTGAAACCAGTTGTTCACAGTGTGGAATCCAGTTCAGATATTCAACTGAATTTAATGTGCTTTGTAAGGTGGTAATATTAATATTATTATATAGACTTCTCTCCGAATAACTCACCAACGCCCACGACGACAACGCCGACCCGGACAACAGCACCGTCCTGTGGAACAGCCCCGGCATCACCGTGGGCGAAATCATGAGGAAGTTGATGCAGGCCGCGCCTGAGCCGTGGCCCGCCAGCGCGACGTTGCCAGGATCGCCGCCGAAGAGCGCAACGTTTTGCTGCACCCAGTGCAGGGCGGCAATCTGGTCCATGAGACCGTAGTTGGCGACGCGAGCCTTGAGGTGGGGGGCCGGGTTGGCGTTCAGGAAACCTGTGGAAAAAAACAAATAAGGAAATCTTGGAACAGCGGCATCCTGACCTATGAGTTTATTTTTTTTATGTTCTGGTTCCCACGAAAAGGGATTATCCTTCGATGTTCAGAGAACATCGTGAGAACCAAGAGGAATAAAGTAGGAATTAGTGTTCTTATCGAATTTCTGGAGGTTGTATGAAATATACCAAGTTATTGGATCCCCATTCGAGAATTGTTGCCATGTCCATATTTATGTTGTCAACATTTCTCCCCCGGTCGTTTCTAATTTGCCTGGCTGGTATCGGAGCCCTGGAAGAGTAGGCGGTATGGAGGGTACTATCATCCGCGAAGCTTTGTACTGGACATGAAGTTGCTTTCAAAAAATCGTTGATATGGAGTAGAAATAGTGTTGGTGCTAGAATTGGTCCTTACGGAACACCAGCATTTATGATAAGAAAGTCAGATGGAACTCAGTCGACCACTACATGGGGAGACCTGTTTGAGAGAAAAATAGCTTGCAGAAAACATAGCTGGGGAGGCAAGCGATAAGATGGAAGCTTGGCGAGGAGTCTGTGGTGCCAGACACGATCGATTGCCTTGGAGATATCATGTGTCATATGGCTGAGGTTTCACTATATTTTTCAAAAGAATTATGCCATATATGTGAGACGTAAGCGAGCAGGTCACTAGTTGATCTCTGATGACGAAAGCCATATTGTCTATCGTTGATAATACCTTAATGTTCCAGGTATTTCATGAGCTCGATGTTGATAGCTTTCTCCATGATCTTTGAAATAATAGATAGCAGTGCGATCGGTCTGTAGGTGCTAGGTAGGGTCTTTTTGCCCTTTTCAGGAACTGGTTGTATTCTTATTGCAATCTTCCAGTTGGACGAGACTATCCCCAATTTGTAATAGAAGTTGAACAACTTGCAGAGAAAGGTGTTAGGTCGTGAGCACGTTTTATGAGAACAATCGATGGGATTCCGTGGGACCACAAGTTTTGTTGGTGTTGAGACCCACTTAATCTTCCTCAAAGTACGTTGGCGAAAGGTGATCTCTGGCATATGACTGTCAATTGGCGTGATTTTGATTCACGAAATGTACTGAAATCTACTCTGATTATCAATGATTTTTTGTAATATATATCATATTAACTCAATATTATATGAAATGAGAGGAATGGAAAGTATTCAATTCGGATATGAAATCCCTATAAAGACTCAATAAATGCTCTTGACACTCGAAAATTAGTTGAAACTCATTCCAGAAATCGCGAAACTGAAATATACTCAAATCTGAACTAAGACCAATAACTTGATTCTCATACCTCAGTCAACTAGAGTGAATTTTCACTTATAATATCACGAGAGTTCCAATTATTTCTGGAAATATTTTTCGAGGACACGAATTTTCCAAATATCCGTGTTCGAGAAAAAATTCCCGAATAATTATTGAAGCTAAAGTGGAATTCGGTAAGAAAACTTCACATTGAAATATTACATTGCAAGTATACCTACACAATATCGTTAATCTATGTATATGGTGAACTGTTGATGAATGATTTTTATGAGTTGACTTATAGAATGACCTCGACATAATCTGTTATTGAATGAAACTGTCAATTAACCTATTAACGTCAAATAATTCCTAGTGTAATTTCATGCTCCGTCCGGCAAGAAGGAGCCGAAAATTCCTAAGAAATCTGTTTAGTTGCTATGGTAACGATACGAAATACAGGCTTCAAATTGATTGAAAATGTTTGGTGTGAAATTTTCAACTCAATCAGGCGTGGTCCGAAATTGAGACATTATTAAGTTGAGGTTTAGTGGCTTTTTTTTCTCTTTCCCCAATGTGATCATCTTCATAATAACATTTTCACAGCACATAATATATACTGAAGAAAGAAATAGATTATCTGGAGTGAAAAAAGCTCAATTTAGTCATATTGAACGTGTTTAGTTCATCGAAGAAATGTGGAATGATGAAGAGGGGAAGGAGACGACATTCATAACTTTTCACAAGAAAATAATATTGAGGTATATAGAAAATATTATTGGGGTATATAGTCATGGGTATCAATCTTCCTTTCATATTACTCCTCTAAGCCTTTCAAAGGTCTCTAATACTGATCGAATCGAGCGGTTTATGTAGGGCCTATATCGTCCGTCCCACGCTTCAAATGAAGTGAGGTCCAAAAAGCAAATGACTCCCTCGGGAACACTTCCGAGGCCTACTCGATCCCGTCGAATAAAACTTCCAAATGTTTTTCTTGTGGAAATTCATAGTGGTAATTCTGTGTTGTTTAATTGGTGATTTGGAAACACGATACTGATAAACGTTGAGAAATAAATTTCGATAATAATTACTGGATGTTTGTTATCATCAAATTTGTTCATATAATTACGTGGTCAGATTCATAATTGAAATCACTCATTTGACAATGTATTTGACACACTGTTGAATTATTGAAAAAGCAACTGGGACATATTGATTGATATAAATTGTCTTATTTTCAGTTACTATTTGAAGAAATATTCACTCACCTAATATTCCCAGCCTATAATTGAGCGTGACGACTACTAAGTCGGCATAGGAAGCTAAAACGCTTCCATCATAAGGGTTTCCAGAATTCCACTCGAAGGATTCTCCATGTATATAGACTATCACAGGATGACGGGTTTCAGAGAAAACTGGAATAAAAACAATGAATTAATTCACTCATTCAGGTGTACGCATATGTCTGTTGAATTAATTCCAATCCCGTGAAGATACGAAACGTCATTATATAAAGGAAAATGAAACGACGACTCGGAGTCAGTTAGACCACGTCGTCACGACAAACATGAATCCACATAACACAACATATTGACACCTGGTATTTGTGATGAAGATGACATATAGGTCAAAAAGTTGTCTCTATAAAATACAATTCGTGTTTGCAATACCATCGGAATTCCGTATAAAATCTCGATCTGACATCTGACGGAGATGATATCGCAAGATCCAGCTAGTGCACCTGAATAACAAATGCATAAAATGAGTCACAATAAATGGACAGAACACATGAAAAGAGATGATGTTATGGTTGTGAGCATCAGAGAAGAAGGAGTTATCTAAGTGGGTGTGAAAAACTACCAGCTGATAGTGGAAGCGACCTTATGGTAGTTATGGCTTAAACGGGCCTAACGAGGTAGCTGGCAGACCTGCCACTACAGCTTACTAACCAACAACACTGAAAGATGGTACCTATGGAGTTAAAACGGTGGTAGCCAGCTCGGTTGAGCGAATTATTTCACTCATCTCTCATTGGGGCTTGCAAAGAGTATGAAAAAGTCCCATTAGGGACTAGTTGCTGACTTGTCAACATCCTTCTTTCTATTTCTATATGAGATTATCGTCTTTGATTTTGATTGAACTTTGAAAAACTATCATAATGAATAAAGCATAGAAACGTTTGGATGTATATGACTAATTAATATCCAACATACAGGGCGTGAGAAGAATACTCTGAATTGAGAAAACCCAATCGCGAATCTTCGACCAGAAGTCGATCAAAATAACAAGTTTCTATCGTTCAAGTTAGAACCCCTTGATTGGGTATGATGAATATGGAGAAATCGATTTATATATAAACAAAAATAGATTGAAAATTCGTCTGTGTTCGATATAGATTTGATTCAATGTTCATCGTGGCATATAGCCATAAAAGCATTTGTTTTTTATTGAATATAAAAATGGAGAGTTGATATATACATCACAAAGAGAATGCCTTGGAAATTTTGTATCGAGAAATTCTACATTTCTGCTGTTTCTAGAAACTAGACATGGAAAATATGGGATACATCACTTGAAATTGATGAAAAACTGATCCTTCTATCAAACCTAGTTGTATGAACAAAATGAGTAGTATAAATTTGTTCTGAATTTTATTTATTTTATATCAAACGTTCACAAATGGTTCGAAGTAAATTGGTCGTAAATTCTAGAAAGACTGTTTCTTGATAGAAATGGAATTTTACGATCAGGATAAGGAAGGCCATTTGATGACTTTATGGTGGTAAATAATAAGGCGGCTGTATTTCCTCTGAGTGCAATAACATAAAACAGATGCACGATCATGTTTCATTGCTTCTCAGCAATTTTGAGCTGGGATAAGAAGAGTCATATTCGCTCTTGCTAAATTGTATGTTGAGAATTGGTTACAAATTATATCATAGTAGCAGAATATTTTATGTTGATTATAGTGACTCAAACATCAGAATTATCATGAATTTAGCGATGGTTGAATCGACCACATATTATATTAATATTTTGTTTCTATCAACGCTGGCTTTGTGAAAAGCTTCTGTTCATATATTTGATCATGAATATAATTTTCGGAAAATTATATCAAAGAATCTGATTAATTCATCAAAGCATTCATTGTGAAAGGACTTTCGGCAATGAAACGTGATATCGGCTTATTCAAATGGAATATATGAATTTAGTCCATTTCAGTTAACCATAGAAAATCACACGACTCTTTAAGGTTATACATATTTCGTGATCACAATAATTCTGTTCTGTCTGTGAATAATTTTCATTTGAACAACGAAATTTTCTTCAATTGAGTCGAAAGAGTAACATCAATCAAGCCACTGTTAGAGTTGATGCACATTTAAGCGCGTATATAAAGCATTAATCAGCCCAATTCTAATTATTTGCCATTTCTCTTTCAGAGTTCTTCTCAAGGGTTACCAAGGTCTGCAGCTTATTTATATAAACAACAAAGTCATTCATTGCTGTGATTATATTTGAAATTATTCACATTATCCAACTGCCTCTGAGCATTAGATCAAAGATTCTGTATAATCTCTGATTAGATAAATTAGATGTATAAGATCGAGAAAAAATCAAAACCAAATAGGTTATAATAACAACAATCCTAGCATTCTTTTTCTTCCTCAGGAAAAGACATCATCTATTCCAAGAATAATACACGATTCCCAAAGCTGGAAATGAAAGTCGTATATAGGAATGGATATAGTTATACGGAAAAAAAATTACCTATATATTAAATCAGCATAACCAACGATCGATACGTCTTTTCACGACAATGTATATGTATATCAACTTCAAATGAATCATTTCAACAATGTCATGTGTATGGCATAACCAAGTGGAAGAACAGGAGCCCCTTACGGAGCATCCTGAACTTCGCCTTTTGAAAAATTGAAATTGATTGTATTTTCTTTTTTTGTTATATTAACAATTTGCCAATTTTTTTCAATTTTGCCAATTTTGAATTTTCAATGAAGTTATTATTATTATTATTATTATTATATATGTTCACCTCTGGTCATTGATTCATACAATAGCTCATCTAAGTCTCATCATAGTCATCATTTATTGGTAGTAAAATGAGGTTTCAATTCGGAATTTGACCATTCAGAAAATGTTATTTCCAGGAGAATATCATAGTTCTCTTCGAATGATATCATTATGATTTTCACATAGATCTCATGATTGTGACAACAGTGATTTTTTTGGTATGCATCTGTAGATTTTTAAATTTAATTTTTTTTTAATATTGTTTCGACGAAAAAATTCATAACTTTCATATGATTGGGAAATAGTCAATAACGTCATTGATGTGGATAAAGCACACAGAGAAGCTTCAGGAGATATGCTGATATATTATAGAGCATTTTATTCAGAAATAATGTTTCCGACTCTCAATTTTTTTTTCGGTGCGCCCTGTATATGCGGCAATAATCGCTGCTCCTGGACCAATGACATTCGTTTTGGATAATGTTTATAGCTCTCATAGAACTCGAGCAATCGAGCTCCGACGCAATAATTCCCCATCACCCTGTATAAAAAAATAAAGCATGTTTCTAAAACTCAGCGATATTTCATATTATACGATACACCAGTTGGCCCAAAGATTGATCCTCATGGTACATCAGAACTGGCTTTCTTGAATCGAATTCCATACCTCTTTCTTGCAATCGACACCACACTAGGTGGTTAACTGCATATAGAAGGATACCGGCTGGGGTTTTTTAAAAATGACTGTTGACTATCATAATAAATGAATTACTTGAATAATTATTGTATTGATGGATATAATAGTATATTATTCAACGAGCGCATAATGATGGCTTTTACCCACGAAGATGAAAGTTGCAGTACGAGCCGAAGGCGAGTGCTGTAATCATCTGAGTGGGTAATAGTCATTATGCGCAAGTAGAATACTATACTTTATCTACAACTATTCAAATATCAAAGCAACTCTGAGAGTTCAGAAATATATCTTTGGAAAGAATGAAGGTTATCATATTGCAAAATCATACTGAATCTGATTTTAAATACTCAATAATTCCATCGAAAACTTATTGACAAAAATTTCACTCAACGAACAGCTTATATCTTATTTCAATAATTCTGATTGAGAAAATATGATAAACAATATGTTGGATAGGTATAACTTTTATTAACAGGAGAAAAGTCGTGCAATCACATATCAGTCAATCTTACCAGGTATTATATGCCATTTCACTTTTCAGTTGTAAAATGAATCATACTATTGTAGATTATTCATTAACTTGCTTTCGCTGTAGCGTTCCCCCACCGCGATGATTAATTGTAGTACCCTGTCTCTAGAAGCTAGTTATCAACAATGAAATTCCATGGTTCTGATTGGTCTGTACTAATCTATTCGAATAGCCTGTAGCCATGTGAGCAAATCTGCAAGTGTCAAGTCCTATTTTATGAGAATGGTTATTCATGATGGTAGTCACTGTTTAGAATGGAAAACAGTGAATTCTCATTTTCCGTGTATTTGTAGCCTTAAGGTGATTGAAATATGAGAACCATTTGAATTTGCGAACTATTAGAACGAATACCTACCTAGTTTAATTTGACAAGACGATGGGATGTCACATTATTACGCCACCCTACTGTCATTATTACTCTTATTACTCGATTCATCACAATAATGTATGTCATTAAATGTCGAAAATCGAGTAAGCAATGCATGAATGACCCCATAGTTGTAGATAAAGGCATTTTTGATATGTAATAATAATATTGAAATTCAATTCGACATATTGACACTATATGAGATGAATGATGAAGTGTTCAGGAGCTAGTGAAGGAATAATCCTCTTACTTGTCTGCAATGACTGAATATGCCACTGCCTGCTTGTCAAACAATGGGAGTGGAGTAACCTAATCTATAATGCAGGATATATCGATGCTATCTTTCCTCAACTCCAGTTTTCTCGCAATCAGGTCGTGACGTAGGTATTTCGAATGCCTGTCGGCTAGTCCTAAAGAACGGTACTATGTATGCAAATGTGCGAACGTAAACTTTTTCGGTATATTCTAACAGCCGCCTCCGATAAATTGTACGGTTTACTGCTAGATGTCGTTACCATATGCCCAGGATATAGCTCTGTCTTGTCCGAACAACGTTTTTGTACACATTAACCGTGCCCACGAGTACAAACGTGTCCATGAATGGATCGTAAATTCCAGGGAGCTACTTCACGATGATAATAGAAATTCGACCGTTCTCGCAGGAGGTGAATAGAAAATGGAGTTGGCGTGAGCGATGTCGGTTTTTTTGTGGTAGAACATTTTGTCGGAAAAGTTCCTGTATACATCCAACATTATTTTTTGTTTTTCATTCACTCCAACAATCAGCCAGA